AGACGAATTTATCTGTTTTTCCTCTAACCCCTGTAGTATTAGAATCGATAATCCAATGACCAGAATCACCTTATCCTTGAGCCCTTCGAGGGCGATATTTTACACAAATAGGCATTCCGTGGCCTGATTGCGCCCATTACTCCTAATTCCGCAGTTTCAATGCGTGAAAAATATTTCCACTTGTCTCTTCCCTTTCATACAAAGAACTCCTCGGAAACGCTCATTTCCATGTGAAAAGCCTAATAAATTACGACCAATTGCGTACGTATGAATCAAGACGGCTCGCAAACCGCAGAACCGCCCAATCTGCAAGCCATTTGCTACTAAACAAGATCTTCTACGGACCGTCGCTAATAAAACGATTACCTAAGGGTCCAAAGGGACCGAGATAAACGACTTCCTGGGTTCTCGATGCGACCAAAGTCAAGAGCCGGGTCATCCATTTCGTGTATGCATACATGATGATATACCGTCTCTATGTGCGTTGTAGATTCTATCTCGTACATCCCTTATATTCCTTAACCTAAACCATATGTTATAACGGAGATATGTCTGAAAGATGGTACTACAAAGACTCGTACACAAGCTTCCGTGACATAGGAAAAATTATGTATTTCTATGTGTTGGATGCACACATTTACTGGCATTGACTAAGTACTGAATACGCTCATTTCTTAACACATGTCTCAAAAGTTTAAAAATAAAAATATATTGCAGTATTGAAAACAGCCATTTTACGGTGAATAATGATAACAATGGTTATACCAACTGGATTTTCACTATGTATTTTGTTTCTTTGTCTTCTAAGTCAAAACTTTTCAGATATTAGCTGTTTCCTAGTCTGTGTTGCTTAAATCCAAATTGCGAAAATATAAGCTTCCACTTTTCAGTTTTCACCATTTTCTAAATTANGATTTCGTTTACTTAACAATTTTATTACAAACAGAATTGACAGTAAAAAACAACCTATCAATCAAACACAATCTAAACGATTTAGAAATCTAAAAAATAACTAGTTATTATTGACCTATCTTAAAAGATATGTTTTTAGATACAACGAAATCATCGATAAAGTTTAGTCGAAAAATTAATGAAAATATTATTTATTTTTTCAACATTGACACTCTGTAGCTCCATTATTATAATCTTTTGGACTAAGGTAAATTTAGTTACATCGACTTATTTTGGAGTGTTGTACAGACCCTTTAGACATACCCTGTATATCAATTAGCACAAAAAGATTATGTTTTATAAATTATCCATATAAAAAAATGTTAAAAGCATTATATATAGTAAATAATACCTTAAACCATCTGAGAGTGGTATATGAATTAAATTAAGGTTGGGCAATACTCCACTTTATAGAAAACATACTTTTGAAAAAGTTACGGTTAGATTGCGTTTGTTTAAAATTGCTAAAAAGACGTTTCGTTCGACCACAAATATTTTCTTGAGCATGTTGGCATGTAAACCTTACTAATTACTTGTTTGAAAAAATATTGACGAAAGCATTATATTAGATGAAAATGTAAGAAAATATTTTTTTAAATTTAATTTCGTTACAAAAACAGTTTGGTTCTTATCTTATAACTGGTATACCTTTATTTGGAATTAAGTAAGTTTTTTCTTGTTTTGGTCTAAATGGTAATGTGAGGAACAATAAAAGTTTCGATTATAATCTGTAGGGTATAACTGATACCATGTAACACTAAACATAAAACGAATATCCTTGAAATTTTGGCCACAGAAATTTTTAATTTGATTGATGTAATTCTCAATATTGACAAAATTCGAAATTGTTTAGATTAGATAGGAGCAACACTTAATTAAGTCATGTTTGACTGAATCAACTTGTTTTCAAAAGCACTAAGTACAGTGATATAAAAGTTCTGACGATTTTTCCTCTGTATTTCGAATTTTCTGGAACCATTCCGGGCACAGATGACTTTTCCGATTATCGAGGAACGTTCAGGACGTAATAATTTCCCGTCAATTACGGCGGAATAAATGGTATTAAAAGAAGTGCGTCATCCACCTGAATCGTTCGGCTCACCCACACCCATCTGGAACAGACCGGCGAATTCCGGTATAGGGGCCGCCGACTCCGGTAACCTAAATGCCTTCTCCGGGTAGCCTCGGCTGAGTCCTGTGACCCGCATATTGATCTGCCGCGATTTCAGAGACGTAACGGGATATTTTCATGGAGAGTTCGCAGGGGTCTCAAATCGAAATTGACCCATGTGAGCAGGATCGGTCCTCATGTTTAGTATGCTTTTCGTAATTTTCTTCATTTTGTGTAAAATTTAATGGCGTACAAACCTACATAAATAAGAACCGATCTTGTCATACTTCCAGGGACTCTAACCGCTGAACCAGGACCTTTATGTTACACAGACAGGATCACAGACTCTTCACTTTATTTCTTGTAGTTTTTTTGAATTGGCGCTGTTGTCTCAAGAGTGATTATGTAAATTTGTTTTAATTTCGTAAATTTATTCGAACAAAATGTTTAAGTTATGCATTATTAGATTTATATAGTATTACAAATAAAAAAGTTATTTAGATTCAAATAAGTGTTCCTCTAATTATTTTGAGCAGTGTATATACATAACAGATTAATATTCTTGCAATTAGAAATCGATATATCTAAGATTTATTTCCTTATTTTTGCGTATTGTGAACGATCAGAAAGTAGGGCAAAAATTCGCGCGAACCATTTACAGTTTTTTTTTTTGGTTTTGTAAGGAAGGAGACGGCTATTAATCATAACTTCTTCCCGTCGTCGCAACAAAAGATAAACTTCCAGCATTACGGGAATAATAAATAAGAGGCCGTCAGGGGAATAAAAGGCTAAGATTTTTTATTGCCTTCCTTCCGAATATTATATTCCGGAAATAAAAGTCCCACTCAAAAACATCCACGGTGAAATATATGACTATTAATAATTAGAGGTTTTCAGTTTTATCCCGAAGTTTGATCCATAAATCAACGAACTTATCCACATTACTGCAAAACTGTACTTACTTGACGGGATGAATTATTCTTTTTTAAGAAATAAATGCTTAATATAATTAATGTAAATTATATACTCATTTGGCTGTAGGTGAGGTAACCTATGGTGTCTTTAAAGGGTCTGTACAACGCTCCACCAGTAGTGCTGCTCAAAATAAGTCGATTTAATGAAACTTGCCTTAGTCCAAAAAAAGATAATAACGTAACTACAGGGTGTCAAAACAAATAACATTTTATTTAATATCTTTCGAGCTAATTTCGTGAAATCTCGTATCCGGTTTTTTTTTGGGATGAGAAATTCGAATTTATTGACGATTTCGTTGTATCTTCTAGAGGACGTCACAAGCGACGATTAGGACGTTTTTAAACTGCCAAAACTTTTTTGTGCCACGGTGTATTTTACTTTGGACCAGAAAAATCTTTCCCCCCAACTTTTCAGCTTAAAAAAAGGTATACCTTGCTAATATCTCAAAAGCCAACCGTTTTCAACAAAAAAGCATATAAATTTGTAAATGCATAAAAAAATTTGTTTAAAAGTTATTTACAACTCCACTGATAAACGAAATTAGGAGCAGTCGTTTATTAGCAAGAAATATGCCTTTAAGGGAAGCAGTGTAATTACAGTTTTAGATTTCGTTTACTTAACAATTTTATTACAAACAGAATTGACAGAGTAAAAAACATACTTTCTAAAAAACAATCTATCAATCAAACACAATCTAAACGATCTAGAAATCTAAAAAATAACTAGTTTTATTGACCTGTCTTAAAAGATATGTTTTTAGATACAACGAAATCATCGATAAAGTTTAGTCGAAAAATTAATGAAAATATTATTTATTTTTTCAACATTGACACTCTGTAGCTCCATTATTATAATTTTTTGGACTAAGGTAAATTTAGTTACATCGACTTATTTTGGAGCGTTGTACAGACCCTTTAGACATACCCTGTATATCCATTAGCACAAAAAGATTATGTTTTATAAATTATCCGTATAAAATAATGTTAAAAGCATTATATATAGTGAATAATACCTTAAACCATCTGAGAGTGGTATATGGATTAAATTAAGGTTGGGCAATACTCCACTTTATTCGGGATGTGGTCTAATAACCTAGATAGTTTGTATTGAGTGTATTATCAGATTCAGGGGAAGATAAATGTCCGAATCCAACAAAATTTGTACAAAAACTACACCGAAATCAGGAAAAATAGTTACAGAGAATTTATAAATTATTAACAATTATTATAAGGAATTAAAAAGAAAAAATGAAATGCTTTATTTAAAAAAATAGTTTTTTTAATGTTTAATTTGATGAAAAAAGGTTGAGAAACTAATTTCTGATATAAAAAATACGCCTGTACACATAGATTTTATTTTATTTTGCCGACTTTATTCTACATATTATTTTTGCATGTACCTACCAGCATTTTTTGGGAAAATATATACGAAATAATCATTTCCCAAATTTTGTCTTGTACCTCGTATACCTATTAAGCGTTCCTAAATAAATCTCTGTCGAAATGTTACCAAACCCTCTTCTGTCTCTATCCACAGGAACCGATAAATAATCCATTAAGCCGGAATAATTACGAAGATCCTGCTCGCATTAGTGAGATATTTGTTATTCCTCCGTCCGGAAAATGTATTTGTCCAACCTCGGAAAAATATTGACTGTGTGGAAGGATATCTAAATCCTTTTTTTATGTTTCAGATGAATAATTTAAACACAATTTTTATACATCACATTGCTGATATATTATTATTGAATCTAAAACGAGACATTGTTGGCGTGAAATACAGATTGACGCAAATAAGTTTGCGTCTGAGTCAGACATTTTTTGTATACCATATGATGTGACATGTTGCGCCTCAATCAGCGAACGAAACACGTTTATTTTCAGTCAGTAAATTGTATGAACGAAATGACTATATATCTCATGTTGGTCCATTCTATAAATAATAAATGTTTTTATTTTTGCAGCGGTATCGAAGGAAGAAGCGGAAGAGCACAACCACGGGAAGCTGCCCTACAATGGCTACAGCGATGAGTTCCTAGACCGATTAGAACCCAACGGAAACATACCTGCCGGCAAAGGTGATATTAGATACGGTGAGTCCATTTCTTTCGCTCGCTGGTCGCACCCTCGCAAATTCTATTCTCTTTTGTAAATGGCCTCATTTTCTGGTCTCTTAAACTTTCATGACCCCCAGACGGCAATTTTCGGGAATGCGATTTGCCGCGCCGAAAACGCCCCGGTTCGGGCGTAAAAACGGACTGAGGAGGGTTATTACTTTTTTTGTGTATGCTTGCTTCTGTATCTGCGCTTCATGTTTGTTGACTAATAGAGTTTTATCCGCTGCTGATGGATAGGTGAATAGATTGCACTAATATTTAATACCAGTTGGCAGCAATTGCAGTAGATTGCATTTAACATATCTTTTTTATATGTTATACATTAAGATCGGGACATAGCTTTTCAATACACGATGTCAAAAGTTAAAAAAAATGAATTTTGTCAAAATATTTCAAGAACCATGTTGGCAATTTCAAGTTTTCAACGTTAAATATTCGATTTTTATCAAATTGCCTCTGTGTAAACAATAAAAAAGTTTAGGCTATATTTCCAGGAAGGTGTAACTAGCGCTCTCTGTTGATGGGTCTAAAATTAAAATTATTTCTAAAATTATCACACTAAAAGAGGTTAAGGAAATATTCCCCAAAATCGTTTTTTTTACTTTGACACCCTGCAGTTTTAAAAAGAGCAACATTTAATTAAGGCATGTTTGGTTAAATTGCCCAGTTTTGAGCTCAGGGGCCTCATATGTGTCCCATTCATAATGAAACACTCTGTATAAGCCGCCAAATCGTATGATAAACGTAAAAAATTTTAAATATATTAAATCTCCAACAAAACTTATTATAAGGTGTTATAATAACACATTTTTAGGTGTAATTATGTACAATGGTACATGAAATAAAAGAAAGTTGGTTGATCTGGAAAACCCCACTAGGCTTTTTATATGTATTTTGGCGTACTTAATCAGAATCCTTCATTACTTTTACTACTGCACGCACAGGCTTTGAATAAATCCCGAAAAACGGCTGAGAATCCCCAAATATTGTGGAAAATCCGACTAATGGGCATCAGCAGTTTTAAAAAAATTTATTTCGACCCATTTAAAGCCTTAATCATGCCTTAATTGCGTTGAACGCTAACTAGTCTTCAGGGAGGACCAAGAAGTGTTCAGACTATTGTAATACGTAAGATTAAGGCTTTATCTGGTTCAAATAATTTTTTTCAAAACATTACTAATGCCCATTGCTTTTCCACGATGTTTCGAGATTTTCAACACTTTTTAACGATTTACTCAAATTCTGTATGTGTTGGAGAAAATCTAACGACGGATTCGGATTCAGTGCTTCAAAGTACGTATTGATAGCCAGGGTGTCCAGGTCAGTACACTTTTTTAATTTGTGTCTGTGAATTAATTAATTAGGCGCTACATTTTTTCCATAAATTTTCTAAAAATGCGATAACCTTAATTGTTTCCTAGAAAAAAGCGCACAGCTTATGAATTAGATATAGTCTTTCCGAAGTCATTTGAACATGTATAAAAACCCTAGCAATAAATTTAATGAGTTTCATAGGCGTCCCTAAAAAAGTGTTCTGCTAAAGGTAAAAACTTATAATAATTTCTCCCTTTCCCAATTGTAATATGAATGATTAATAAAAGGTGCCTATAATAAATTAAAATTACCTGAATCGCACCGCAATTCCGCATTGCTGCACTTCGCTGCTAGGCAATTTGTCAACCACTTGTCAACAACTCAGATTTATTGCCCAGTCGCCCAGTGCAGCAGTGTTATACGCCGTTTGCCCGCACGCGTATTCTTCAACTGGGCGTACATTTCTACCACCTGCACGTTTAGCTCGACCAGACCTGTATATGGGTATGGCTAAATAAATATGGGAACAAGTTTTACAAATATTCAATGTTGGTACATACTGCTGGTTCCTCAATTGAGATCGGAAAGACTATAAAATTTAACTGTTTTTAACAGTTGGCCCGAAGCATTAAATACTTTTTTATTTTAAGAATTGATAATTTTTTGAATTAATTTGACAAATTTTTTGGAAAAACCTCAAAAAAAAATTGTTCATTTTGTAATCAATAAGGATCATTTAAATTTAAAACATTTATAATTTTGATGGTCTTATTGTCGTAGGTGCAACTTGCTACAATAATAACAGTACATAGTAGTATTGAATCTCGGTTAATATGGAATTTTGACAATAATCTTAAAGAGACTAGGTAATTCACCTTCAAAATTTTTAGCTCATAAATCCTGTTTTACCCTTATTACAAACACATAGTTTATACCTTACCATTTTCGTCGCGGCAACTAATTAATCCCATATGGTCCTACCCATGGCGTCAGGTTACGTAATATCCGCTTGCGTATCAATCACACAGGCTTCCTCTTCCAAAAATAGATAGATTCCCTTCTGGTCTCGTAATTTAAACTAAAACTCGCTCCAGGAGCTTTCCTGGCAAGCACCCGCCTCGTCAGATGTGAAATATAAATGCTAAACAGCGAAAGCTGGTATAGCGCAGATGAGTAATCCAGGCTCATACACCAGCGAAAAAGGTACTTTCTGCAGGGTGAATTTAAAATTCTCAATTAAAATACAACAACCGATTCCTTATTAAGTCTTGGCTGGAGGCAGCGGGATTTTTCCGTTTTAATTTTAAACTCTGCGCCTAATATTAGTCCCATTTGAAATTTTAATATTCCGCCAACTCGGCTAATTTTAAAGTTCAAATAGGGCTCGATTTACATTCCGATCTTTTAAGGATAATTCTGATGTTCTGCTCCAAAGTGGTATGAATTTTTCTATGATCAAATAAGGGAGGGCTGCTATTAGTTATTTTACTTTTATAGTTTAGTACAGATTAGTTATTTGCTATGGGTCGATTGGTCAAGAGAAATTTAAATTGGGGTCGGTATGAATTTTTTTCTGATAAAATCAGGTAGCGATTTTATTGTAATTTAGTTAGTCGTAATTGTTCCATTTATCAAGGCCCCGTACTTTGAGTCTTGGTTAAGGCTTGATTAACTAATCAGGCGATTATACTGTAAAATAAATGCTATATGTACAGTCTAATTTCCTGATCAGTTAATCAAGAGATTCAAAATATCGGGCCTAAATGACTCGTGTACCTTAGCATCCAAACTCGGTTTAGTTAAATCGTTGTCGAACTTTATTTGGTAAAGCAATCGGCGAATATACAGGATGTTACAAATTCGCTTCTCACTACAGGAATCTACCAATATGATCGCAAAGACTTATGAGTACTTTAGTTGCGTTGACGCTATTAATACCATTGCCAGCCATGTTTTCAATTTTTTTCTACATGTGCTTTTCCCTAGATCGAGTGCGTCTCTTACATTACAACTAGTACGTGTTGCTCACTTCCTGAAAAATGATATGTAAACATTTGTGGTCGTAAATGAAAATTATGGTCTATAAATAAATAAATATATTATAATTTTATTATTGTATATATTTACACTGTACTATATTGCACAATAACAGCTAAAGCATTGTAAATATACAGGTAGTCCCAAAATAAGTTTAGAAAAGATAAGGGCCTTCAATCGTATTTATTTAATAATTAAAAAGCTAAATTAAAGTCTAACAACGACTGATTTTAGTGGAAAGTCAAAATTATTGGTAACTAACTTTTAACAGTGATATTTAAATTGAATATAAGTACTATTTATAAGGCGTAACTACAATTTGGATACTTCAATCTTCTTTTCTAGAATTTCCATTCGTTCAAAGTTACAAGTAGTAGAATTTAACTGATAGTTGCAAAATATTTGGAATACAACATTGCTGAGATTTAAGCATACAGCACACGAAAGTGGTATTTACATTTCGATAAATGTAACCCATATTATGGCCTTAATATTTCACTCTTATTCCGGGACATCCTGTATAAGGTATTATAATTATATTAATTGCACCACTTTCTAATTGGCATAATTTATTAATAATGAATAACTTACATACTTATAAGCTTATGAAATCACACCGTAGAATAGTATGTTAGTGTTACTTTTGTTGTCCCGTCCACTCTTCAGATAATCTGCCTTATGTGCTTGAAATTAGCAGTCCTCTAGGCTCTAGAAGATAACCAACTAATGATTGAATCACCTGAACAACACTGAATCTGTCCCATTTTCTAGGCGAGTTTTCTACTTACGGGAGAGGCGGAGACATGGGTACTATGCGCAGCGCACAGTCAGCTGGTAATTGAAATTTTTATTTTAACTTATTCTTACACTGCACAAATACTCATTAATACACCCTGTTTGTATAATATTGGACACATTAAATGCCTACTGTACTACTATATTGATAAAAAAAAGGTCAATTCCCACTCCTTACGAATATATGTATATAGCAGCTTGAATATTTATTGTTATTTTTCTTAATTTTTGATAATCCATGTAGTGAGAGTACCAGATTAAGTATGCGGTTTTAGTTATCGACGAATTTTGTTTATAGTCACAAAAATAACGGTTCCTTATACATATGTCGATACTTTTTCACAGTTATCTTGATAAAAAAAAAAGTAAATTGTTTGTACTTCTTAGAAAACGCAAGCTGATGAAGTGTCGTGAAAGAGTGATGGTGATTGATACTTCTTAAAATATGTTGTTAAACGAAGCAGTTTTCGAGTAAAATGAAAACGTATGTTGTCACAATTATTACCAAAGACACACGCCATAATATATGATTATTGACTGCATTCATTAATTTGTATTCATTAATATTTTATTTTTATATAGGTATTTAATTTACAATATTCAATGGGAAATTGCTCAGTTAAGGGAGTAGGAATAGTAAAAAAGTATAAATAAAACTACAAAAAAGAATGAACAAAAAAAATAGTAATAAATTACAAGCATACGAATATGCATAAATGTCGGAAAATTTATTTAAAAAAAAGACAAAAATTAAGGGTACTTAAATATACATATTAATAACAATAAAATTAATACATACGACAAAACGTTCGTAGAAAGTTCAAACGATTTGAAAAATCGACGCACTTTTTCAGTATGTTCAGTATTATTAATATCAAGTATAATTAAATTTTCTGTTTTTTTATATTTTATTTTTATTAAGTACTATATGAATACTCGCAACTCGTTAGTTGTCATAAATACTCTTCTCCAAAGTTTCAGAACTTCAGAGTTTTTTTTTGTGTTCTTGGTAATAATTGTTTCATAATCATATATTTTTCATTTTTACATTTTTGAAGAGCACAAAAAAGGCCCAACCCAAGAGACCCACTTATTTCCGAAGAAATTCGATGCGTAAACACGATTTGCAGTCAAACAACATGACTTGTCTATGAATTTCGGAGAAAAGTAAAAATTTTGGGCGAAAACACTCAAATATGGGTCAAAACGATTTTTTTCCTATATTTTGTCGAAATATACCTTCTTCGTAGTATTTAAAAACGCTGACGTCGATGCCATTAATAAAGTTTACCCATGACCTCGATATTTCTCAGAAAATCCACTGTTTGGGTGAAAACTGGCCCAAAAATGGGTAAAAACTGATTATTTCCTAAATTTTCACCAAATATATCATCTTGGTAGTATTTTGACCAGTTTTCACGCCAATAGTGGATTTTCTGAGAAATATCGAGGTCATGGATAAATTTTACTAACGGAAACGTGTTCAGCGCCTTCTTCACAAATGATATGTGGGTTCTTGAGTTTCGACTTTTTTTTTTGTTGCATGTGTAATTCTTTTAATCGTCTTGACCTGATGCTACAAGTTTTAAACTTATATTTTCAAAGAAACAAAACAAATCCGACATATTCTTTGTCTTCATTGGATTCGTCTTATGTCAAAGATTTCCAAAAACAAATATAGTAGCCATTTAAAGTATCTAATGTTGTACTTGTTCCGCACGACATTTATCTAAAAGCCCGAGATCGTGACCTTAGAGATTCGAGTAGTATTTTCTCTATTTTCCTAGTGATTCTTTTCAAATATATCTTAGATATTTATAGGTATTGTTTTTATTTTGAAAAATATGTAGTATGTATATCTGAACTGAAAAACTTTACAGGTTTTATATTATTTCTAGTATTTTATAAATTCGTACACAAAATATATTAAAACTACTGTTGGATCATTAATTGCTATGATAATTTTATACCGTTCTATTCTCCCACCGAAAGAATTGGCACAGGAATGGCGTTGCTCATGTATTATATTTTTACACTTTATTGAAATTACGAGATACGTTTCTAAATGCGTGAATGTTAAAAGAACATTTTTAACCCCATGGTTCTAAAGACGATATCTTGTTTTGCTATTTTATACTACTTCAAGAGAACAGTTCCTTTATGTCGCTGCTGAACTATAAAGGAAACTAAGGACATTTTTATTGCAAAATCAACGACATTAGATACGATTATATCGTCTAGATAGCAAATATAACAAATTTGTTGTATTCCTAACCCCCCTGTATAGAATTTATTTATAACATTCCATACGTTTACCACGGTACCAGATACAACGCCGGCCACCAACTAATTTTAATAAAGCCGACTCCCATTGAGCTGTCTCTGATTAATTGACCCTCCCCTAAATACCGAAATTAATCCGAGTTCCACATTCAGGCTCGAATTAGCGAATTGTATATGTGTTCCGCGGTCAGGCGAGAGTTGAAAACACATGCCGATGATGAGGCTTGCGGATCAATGCGGGTAATGAATTAATTGACGTTTTGATTCCGGATTTCGTGCGCGTTGTTTTCTTTTCACGGATATCAAATTAATCCTGAGGATGATAAAATGAAATCGGACTAGACGGACTTTATTTTGTATTCCTGGTTATCAATAAAAAATTAGGCATTAGTTGTATTGATGATTCGGACCGCTTTCCAGATTATAATTTCTCAGGAAAACAAACTACTCAGGAAAACTAGTTACACAGATCAACAAAATTTTAAACCTGATTATACTTTTTTGATGTTCCGATTCTGAATCTCTCTACCACGTAAAGTTTTCAAGATATCCTGACCTGAAGATGCGAAATACACGATTTTTTTTTTCAATATTTGAGGTTATGTTAAATCTTCCTTACAAAACTCGTCACGGGATCTTCCCATTCAAAATTAATTTTGAACCGTTCAATGATCTTTACTCTTCAAGAAATGGTATGTTGAAATTGACTAGTTTGGAGTATTCGTCAATGTACATTATTATTGCGAAAAAATTCAGGGAGAGTTTCCTTGACCAAAAATAAGAAAGAAAGTTTCTATAAACCTATGTCCGAAAATGCTTCGTTTAAATTTAAAAGTGGTCGTCAGTCAATTGAAGATGATCCTCGACCAGGAAAACCTTCGACTTCAATTGATGACGCCCACATTCAGAAAGTCGAGGATCTGGTGCATGCAAATTTTAAAGACATCTTAAAACTCTTATAGTCTCAGTCGCGATACATTTCTAACATGCTCGCGCGCTTACGCTCTCTATGTGCGAGTAGCTTTATGCCAGTCCACAATATCCCCTTGGAATTATTTCAACGAATATTAGATTCCGTGCATTTACATATCCTAAAATGTCAGTGATTATGTTACCACAACAGTTCCGGTACAGTGATGTTATACTGTAAAATATTAGTATTTAATTTGTTATTCTTGTGTTCAGTTTAGTAACTAAGTAAGTAGAAAAGAGAAATTACTCATGTATATACTAGATTCATATTCAAGTAGGTACGTGTGTGCATATTTAGGAGACTTTAGGTTATTAACTATCTGTTAACAAAACTTTTAGGTACCTACTGTTATACGTACGTATTTAATTGAATCCAATTTCCAATTAAATTAAATATAAAATGTTACATTTTTAAATAAATAAAGAACGACAACAATAATTGTTTAGTATGTATTGTTTCGAATTATCAGTAACATCTATATTCTTTTTCTACGTGCATCTTATTTTTTACAGAATGAAAAATATAATTAGTGTCGCAATCGTTCTCTGTTGGTCTTCACTACTTGTATCTGCCGAAGTTTGCCTTGATCCTGCTACCTTGAATCCAACTGCTATTCACGCTACAGTAAAATTGTTTCAAAATATACGGACTGCGGAAAATTTAATTGTGTCCGTCGATAAAAATCACTACCAATATGAATGTAAACATTCCAAACTGGGCAAGACTCTGTCTAAACTATCCCTGGGTGGCTATATCACACAGCAGTATTTCCTGGACGATAAAATTATCGTTACTTATAATGATAGCAATATGTATGAAATAAAAAAGGATCAGCAACACGTAACTTACACAATTCCGTTGGGATATGGTTCGTACCAAAACGGTAATTGTTCGGGAGTAGAAAGTTATTACCAAAACAGAACAGTGTCACTTGTTGAATTTATAAATGTTACCCTTTCCATCAACAATAAGACGTTAGAAAAAGAAAGTGATGCCAGTTACATATTTTCCGATGTTCGTGTGTACACTTTAAGCAAGCATCCACTAGTCCAATATGCCTTACTGGGTTACGAAGACTATTTTTTGGCACTTCATCTGAAAGAACCCTACAATATGACATCGAGTTATATAAACACGGATTACAATTCCATTATAAAATTTGGTGAACATGATGATGGGTCTCGTAACAACAGGACAGCCCAGGTATTCTTGAAGATGTATGGTACTTTTCCAGAAAGAGCTTTAAAATTGATGAAAGATCACTGCGAGATTATTGTATTTCAAGAAATTCTTAACGCGGAACGCGGAACTCTCCAAAAAAAGGTGGACCAAATATTTGTAGTATTCTACGGAATATGTCTAATACTTAGTGGTTTATTACATTATTGGATGTTGAGGAAATTTTGGATGGCGAAAAGTGATATTAAGAAAATCGAGAAATCGGTTGCTATCCTCAGTTTAACCTCCCAAATGAGGAAAAGTGCTGAAGGTCCCTATGAGTACATTGAGTTTCTAGATACTAAAAAAGATTCGGAATATGGATATGATACGGTAACTCTTACGTCATCAAAAAACGGTAAGAAGAAAGAGAGGACGTCTGGCTATCTAACGCCTGTGAATAGTCAGCGAAGAAAGACGAACAACTACGTCAACTTACAAGAGGCCAATTGTAAGAATATCGACAACAAGCAAACAGTTTAGACTTATTTTCTCTTCAATTTTCTCATCTAATTATGAAAAAATTAACGTAATTATATGGATATATCCTATGACTATAATGTATTCTTTGTACAATTTATTCATAATAATAAAATAATTAAATAAAACTAATTTTTTTTAAATACACCAATGTTACACATATATTTTTTCTAATATGAATGATTAAGATTTATCAGAGGATTATAAACAAATTTTGTAATAATGAATATTAAAATTTTATTGAATATATATGTAACTGATATGCATTGAAATAATGCCAGACATTCAATTTTCGCAGTAAAAAAATATTTTTAAGAAGCCACACCTGTATGATAATTTATTTCACCGCAAGTGTTATCTACTTTGCTTGCTAATTTTACGTAATAAATGACTAATGGTAGACGTCAAAATTCATGGTTTCATGCAAATCATACAACTCTTTTTTAAATATTTTCCACACTAGCATTTTTTGAAGAAATACTTACCATAAAATTGGAGTTGGTGTTTTAAGACCCTAAATATAGAAAACCAAAGATTTCATACATATCAGTTAGGTATCCAATAAATTAAAGATTAATGTTTTTTGAGATATAGTTTTATGCACTGTTTTATTCTTAAATACTAAATAATTAATTTTTGTTTCTCAAATTTTACATCCGCGACAATTCAATTTAAGCTTAGTGTCGGCTCTTAACTTGTATACCAAGGAGGACGGAAATATTTAGGTACAAGGTATTGAAAGAAAAAAAAATCAAATATAATTGGGTAGTTTTATTTTAAGTACTATTAAAATATGAAGAAAATGTACTCAACATTATTTTTTATAGTGAAAGTCCATTCTTCTGCTGTCCAAAATAAACTTTTCAATTACTTTTTCATTACAGTTTGGTATTCCTCGTACCACTGATTTTTCAATACTGTAGCAAATGCAATCGATTTAAACTTCTTAAATTTTTTAAACAAGAAACAATATGTAAGTAACAAAATTTTACGTCACACCTAAACAAATTACGTTGTTTGGACTAAAGAGAGCCCAAACTGCGTAATAAATATGCGTTTTTCACTGCTACGCGACGGTAACCATGACCACCGCTGTAAACACTTTACAGATGTAGAGGCGAGCTACGAGAAGCCCAGCCACTGGATGTTTGCTCTTCTTTTCATTTAGTTTTTGGTCTCCTACAGGTGACGTAGACTATATAAGGCTTGACGCAGTGTCACATCGGCGTATTTGGTATACAAATGTCAATTAATTTGTAAAATTGGTTAAAATATAATGGTGTTTATTAAAACGAAGCTAATCTCATATTTCAACCGAATTAACGAAACGTTTCCAGATTATGGCGACATAAATCATTAATTAAATATTAAATAGACCCCGTTGTACAGTCACAGGTAGGTTGGAGCGGTGACGCCACCGACTTAAGTAAGTGGCGTTAGCCGGAGTTTGATATAAACCGTATTATGTACAACGTAACCCCCTTGCTCTCGATATATCCAGGCGTAACTGGACTTTTCTGGAATGAGGTCACGCAGGGTAGCGATGAAAATACGCTTTTCTTTGTAGTCAGATACGGTTTGCAAGAAATATGGCAAAATTTTGGAAACAGTCTCTGTTATTTGTGCAAATTTGAAGGTACATACATACTTTTAGGACATAAATTTGTCCAATTGTATGTCCTAAATATATATAAATATGCCATTCATTATTCCAAAGACTTGTTATTTCATTACCTGAAATGCCTACTCAAATCTAAAAATTTCGGCCTATACAAAAGTAAATTATCATAACCAACAAAAATTAAGAACGTATATCTAATTTATACAGGGTGTTTTTATCTTCAGGAGTAAGCGGAACAAGTGAAAATGACTGTTATACAAACGTATGTCGAAAACTCAACCATTTGTTCTAGTTGTATCACGAAAAAATATCTTTCCAAATACAATGCATTTGAGCTAGAAACTTTTCACTTGATACCCTTAAATTTTCTTCGTCGTTTTACCAATTTAAACTTTAATTTGGCACTAATATTCCAATTTTTTTAATTTGATAATACTACAACTTTAAGAAAAAATTAAATTTTGTTAAAAATAAGAAAACGACAATTTTTTATATTTATTAGTTGATTGTGCAGGAAAATGTTTTTCACTTGTATATATACAGTGATTCGGTCATAGTGTCGTGATTTTAAGAGAAGATAGAAAACAATGAGAATACGAATATGCGATTAAAGATTTTAAAATGCTGGAAGAAAATATTTTCAAATCATTATTTGAACCCCTTTTTAGACCGCTTCTGACCCTTGACCAACAAAGATTTATCGAGAGTGAATCTTGACCTACCGTATTATCCGGTCACTAACCTAGATTTTACTGCGTTTTTAATGCGTAGTAAACGACAACGAATAAACAGAGAATTTTTTTTACATTTTAAATATATTTTAAGTATTATTTATTTGTTAATAAAAACAAATATATAAAGATAATAATTGCTTCCGATCGTCAGGTTATTACAATTTATATTGTTAACGTTCTCACTATGTTTCATAACTGAATATGAGTTTTTAGTATTATGTTCATTATGTTTGTAGTACGTATACCTAGTTACTGCTTTACAAAGAATAAAGTTGCAGCGGCACTTTGATTTTGAAACCAATTGCAAAATTCTAGACGACTGGGGAAATCAGCTGTTTCTTTTCAACGTTTGAACGCTCTGCGGGCTCCGGCGCGTTCCCGGTCAAAAAATCTGAGGGCGCCGAATAAGTGAGCGAGTTAAGGGTAATTTGCTTATTTTTTAAAAAGTCGAATGAAAACATTATTTTCTATTTTCTGTCTTGGACTTTCAGAATACGTGATGAAAGTTAATGGCATTATGACTTAATCACTCTGTATAGACACTTTTATTGTCTATGATGGCTTAGAAATCATCTGCTAAAAAGTGGTACGGATTCCGATCTTCATTATCAAAGTATGACGACCTTAATATTCATCAGCCGCTATAGGCGCATGGTGTTAGAAAAAATCGAATACATCACTTCCACGTGACGGCATTGTACAACGTACGCAGTAAAATAACAGACGACCTCTGGAGTACCTCTGCGTGTCACCTAGCAAAGAAAAACGCTTCCCGGAATCTTTACCGTCGGCTAATGAAAAATCAATGGGTAATATGTAGCCGAATGAATTGGCCTTTATCCCCCCGGTTCGCCTGGCTCGCACGGGATTACATACACGCTGTACCCGGCAAATTGGAACAAATTCAGCCGGCTTTGTCGTCGGCAGTCCCGCCGCCCCACAAAGGGACGCCGCCAAACGACCCCGGAACTAACCCAACTTTGATTTGTTTGCAAACGCTACCTCCGACTCGATATAACTAACTGGAACTGGCCCAGCTTCCGTAAATGTCGCTGGCCGCTTTGAGGAGGGAATGCCGGTGAGTAATCGGTCGCGTATTATTCTCCGCTTTGTAAAAAAAAAAATAGTTGCGGAACAGTACACGTGTTTTGTGCCTGATTTATTTCAACCCTACGTTGTTATCCTATTTCTGTTAGTTGATTCACACCCGACAAACTTGGGGCTATTTTAGTGTGTTTTCGGTGACCCAGTTAATTTTAGATCAAGTATGTACAACGTAGTGACTTTTGGCCTTCATCGAATATGTCAAAATTAAAACTTTATTTTCTTAGATTTGAAATATAACATATCATTTTACGAGAAATAATACAAACATTTTGTATATATCTTAATACAAGCGACTAATTACACAGCGCTACAAAAAAATAGTGGACTAGGCTGTGATCTAAATGCGAATCTAAAATCAAAGTCGATCGTCAAATACAGGATTATAAGGGTGCAATAGATCATCATAGATGCATATTTTTCCAATCAATATCAAAAACTCGTTTTTGGAGCAGTATCAGTTTCTGATCTGGAAACTCTGACTTTAGATTCAGATTAAGCAGATCATAAATACTACAGAATACACTAGCCTGGTGGTCCACGGAAAATGTATAGCTTACCAGTTATTTTTTTTTGCGTCAATATATTGAAAACACAACCTCCAATTTATCCTATTCTTTAATACTACCAAACCACCAAGGACTTATGTTTCACACATTGGTGTTCAGTAGAATATCCAACTTGGATGATCGAATTACAAGTACACTTGAACACTCTACTCTGCTTTGCGTTGTTATATGAGTACATTCACATACAAAGTCCATAGGATTTTTTTTTTCAGTCTTCTAGTTCATCCATCATTATCTACGAGTCGAATGAGTTCCACCAAAAGTTTCTTCCCAGCAGTCAGTAGACTGTATTTGATATTGAATCTCTCAATGGTTTTCCTTTGCGTGCCTTTCCAATGTAGTTTTTTTATCTATTTTCATGCCTATGCACCTTGCTGTATTTTTGTACAAAATATTGTTACCATCTGTGATATCAGGAAGATGTGTTGGTAAAACATATACATATTAAGTTCCTTGTTAGTATTTACAGCAAAAAAACACTTCTCTTTATCTCTAATTTAAAACTATTCTTACTACCTACCCTTGGTCGCACCAAAGGTATATTTCAAGGACAACGGTCAACAAGTAACAATATATTGATTATATTATTAATTACAGTGGTCTAATGTTGAAAAATACCGTAACCTAACCGTATTAATATTCGTTAGTTTATTAGCAATTATTGCAAACAATCCCAGACATGTATTGAGCTTGAACACATCTTGGTTGAATCTAAAGTCCTGCATATGGGACAATATGTAGGTAAGTTACATACATATATAGATTTTACACGATTCCCGAATCGAGTCTCGAAATGCTTACAGATGTTGAATCCGTCAGATCTCATCTTTAAAGTATGCTCCAATGCTGCATTCATGACCTTGTCCAACTTTCTCTTTCTCTTTTCATCACAAAATGAAGTGGTAGCACAACTAAGGCTTTAGAGGCAGCTATTGGAAACGACTTTAAGATTCCTGTTATACTGATACAGGTTAATATGTGAAGTTGTTTCTCTCGTACTATAAAGAAGCCTATGTACACGAAAGTTTATTTTA